GGGAAGCAGAGTCTCCCCAGAAAGAAACAGAGAGACAGAGAAAGAGAAATGGAGGGAATGAGAGAGAGAGAGCACAGTGACGGCATGTTCTTTATATCCAGCACACACCTGGGGGACACCTGGCACAAACATGGCAGCGGCAGGTGATTATGATTAACTCAGAGGTTGCTAGGCAACCCAGAATCAGGCTAGTGGAATAAGTGGTCCAGCTAAGAGAAGTCTACAAGAGAGAAACAACATTTGATCTCTTATGTGCTGAATTTATAATATGGAGCCTAGAGCTTAAATATGAACAAGCTTCTTGAGAAGTCAGAAATTAGATCTTAAGCTAGACTGTACAATACCACTCACTAGCTGCCAGGAGTGAAGAGTAGTTACGAGGGCAGGAAGTTGCAGGAAACTACCCAAAGACCAAGTAATAAGGGAGGCAATTAGAGGTCCTTAGAAAATGCCCATGACCAGGTAACGCAAAAAAATGTGAAGTAGCAGCAGAATGTAAATACCACTGGGGTTTGTCTACTTTGTGCCCTGTGTGTCCCCATGACTAGAAAGACCCTGCCTCGTAGCAGGTGTTCAAAGAATGTATCTCCTGAGTAAATAGTCAAGGGACACGCAGCAAACCAAGAGCTCAAAGAAAAAGAAGGAAGAGTTTGCAGGCATAAGCCAAACGTGTTCCATATTGCAGAAGTGGTAGACAGAGACCTGAGAAAAGATCTTTGGATTTAGACATTTTTCCCCTTTTAATTATGTTTTGTTTTGTTGTTGATTTGCTTTCTTGGCTGGACTGGAATGCCCTGTCAGCCAGGCTGGCTTCAGACTCAAAGCAATCCTCCCATTGAAGTTTCCAGAGTGCTGAAATTACGCCACCACATCAAGCTGGATTTGGATACTTAGAGTGTCATCGATCCCTGTGAGGAGTCTTAGTGACAAGGTGGAAGCTGATAGCATGGACTTAGAGATAAACAGCGAAGATGGAAACATTTACTGCTTCTGAAAGAGAAAGATGATTAAAGAATAATGTGGAGAAAAAAGCAGACTATAAAAAGATTTTAGTGTGCTCATAAGTTTAGGACCAAGAGTAAATAAAAGAGGAAAGAGCTAAAAACAAAAAAGGAGGAAAAGAAGATTCAAAAGATTGATGAAAAACAAGAGAGACAAAAGTAGGAACTCAAAGGCACTAGAGCATGCTCAAATGGAACACCTCAATTATAAAATGTAGACAGCATCCTGGTAATACAATTTCTTGCTGGGTAGTGGTGATGCATGCCTTTAATCCCAGGACCCAAGAGGCAGAAGCAGAAGTTTGAGGCTAGCCTGGTCTACAGAGAGAGTTTCAGGACAGCCAGAGCTACACAGAGAAACCCTGTCTCAAAAAAACAAACAACAATAAAACAAATAATTTCTTATAGTTTTGCTGATTATTATCTTAAAACAGTTTCCTGATAAAATTACCTGGAATATTTGAGTTCAGTATTGAAATAGAGGCTAAATACTGCTACACAAAGCCAGGTATGGTAGAGCATTTTAATCCCAGCACTCAGCAGGCAGAGGCAGGCAGATCTCAAAGTTGAGGCCAGCCTGGTCTACAGAGAGAATTCTCAGGACAGCCGGCGCTATACAGAGAAACCTTGTCTCAAACAAAGACTGCTACACAAATTATCTGTAATGTAAATGTGAAATTATCCATCTATATCCTATATAATATTTGTGCTTCAGAGATAATTAGAATTCTTTTGGCTACGGCTCCATTTCTATTATTATCCTAAGAAGCTGTCATCTCAGATATCTGAATTAACACAAGAATACAGGAAAGTTATGTGCGCACTTAGAACTTTAAACACAGCATGATATTTCCACTCCTCAAATATGAAACTATATCAATCTGAAAACTGGAAGCCTTCATTTGATGTTAACACAATTTCTGATACTCTAAGAGAGCCACTGCAAGGTTACATTCCCATTCAGAGTCTTCAAGCTAATTGTTCATCCACCACAACCGCTATAAGCTTTCAGAGATTCTGTGCTATGAATGAAAAAGAGAAAGAACAAAATAAAACAGATAAAAGGAATCCCCCAATCCCATTCTGTCTCTTCTCCGAGGATTCCACGTAAGTCTCTAATAATCTTAATATGCTTTGCATTATCATTAAGGGTGCTCTTTTAAAATCCAGCTGTTACACATCACTAACAATCTTGCTTTGACTGCCACATAATTTTATACATTTATAAAATAGCTATAAACAGTTTAAGCTTACGATGGACTTTTTGAAGCCCTTAACTTAGCTGCACTTTGACTTTTCAGCACAGCTACAATTTGGGTTTATTCACACAGCAGTTCCGAATCAAAGGCCTCCTCTTCCTTATGAAGACTGCCAGACAAACTGATTTTCCCCTTTGTCTAGTATTGGGCCTTCCAATACTGACTCTGACAGACAAGCTGATTTTCCCCTTTGTCTAGTATTTGTTACTTCCAATCGTTCTTGCTAGAATATAACTTACCCCAGACCACACCCTAAAAATTGTAGCCATACAAGAATACAAGGGATACAGGGCTCAATCAAACTCTGCTCACCCTGACCACATTTCTTCATGCTTTCTGGATTTGTTCTAATCAACCTCATCTTTCACTACCATAAAAATGTAGCCCTGGGCTGGAGAGATGGCTCAGAGGTTAAGAGCAATAGCTGCTCTTCCAGAGGTCATGAGTTCAGTTCCCAGCAACCACATGCAGAACAGAACATTGTATACATAGTAAATAAATAAATCTTTTAAAAAAAAAATGTAGCCCTATGTGTTGGTCACATGAATTTCACCACCATATCTGTACTTGCATACTATTTCATGTATGTATCTGTAATATCCTTTTCCTCCTTTTCTCGGCCTTGCAGGATCCTAATAATCATCTCAATCAGTCATAATAAAATACCAAACGAGGTAAAAACAGAAATGTATTTTCTCATAGTTCTGGGTGTTAGAAGGCTATAATCAAGGGGATGACAAATTTGGTTTCTGACTGACCTGCTATATCCTCAAATAGCTGTTTCTTCCGGCCTTGGGAGGAAACTAAAGAAAGATAAGCATACACTATCTAGTGTCTTGTAAGGATCTATATAATCCAAGATGGCCCTGAACTTGTCATTCTTCTGCCTTAATTTCCTGAGGACTAGGATACAGGCCTGTACCATCCCACAGAGCTTAATGTCTCTTCACTGAAGAATGTAATTTCTATGGGCTCTTCAATCCATTTTAACCTGAGTCACTTCCTCAACACCCCACTTCCAAATACAGCCACCCTAGAAGTCGAGGCTTCAGCATAAGAATTCTGACCAAGGGGGCTGGAGAGGTGGCTCAGAGGTTAAGAGTACTGTCTGCTCTTCCAAAGGTCATGAGATCAATTTCCAGCAACCACATGATGACTCATGACCATTTTGAGATCTGGTGCCCTTTTCTGGCATGCAGGCTTACATGCAGGCACAGTACTGTATAAATTAATAAATAATAAATTTTTAACTTTTTCTTTATTATTATCATTTATTACAATTTATTCAAATTTGTATCCCGGGTTTGACCCCCTCCCTCATCTCCTCTCAATCTCACCCTCCCTTTCTCTTTCCCTACTATGCCTCTCCACTAGTCCACTGATAGGGGAAGTCTTCCTCCCCTTACATTTGACCCTAGCCTATCAGGTCTCATCAGGACTGGTTGCACTGTTTTCCTCGTGGCCTGGCAAGGCTGCACCGCCCAGGAGAAGGTGATCAGAGAGCTAGCCACTGAGTTCATGCCAGACAAAGCCTCTGCTCCCCTTACTAGTCCCCTTGGAGGCGGAGTCTATGGGCTACATCTGAGCGAAGTTTTAGTTCCTCTCCATGCATTATCCTTGGTTGGGGTATCATCTCTGCAGAGTCCCCAGGGACCAGGTTTTTTGGTTTTGTTGGTCTCCTTTTGGAGCTCCTGTGCCCTCCAGGTCTTTCTATCTCCCCCCTTCTTTCATAAGATTCCCTGCACTCTGCCCAAGGTTTGGCTATGAGTCTCAGCCTCTGTTTTGATAACTCAATCAGTAAAGTCTTTCAGAGGCTGCCTGTGGTAGGCTCCTGTCCTGTTCCCTGTCTTCTCCTGCTCCCGATGTCTATCACGTTTGTCCTTCTGAATGGGGATTGAACATCTTCCCTAGGGTCTTTCTTGTTGTTTAGCTTCTTTAGGACTATAGATTTTAGTATGTTAATCTTATGATATATGTCTAGTATCCACTTATAAGTGAGTATATACCATGTATGTCTTTCTGCTTCTGGGTATATCTAAAATATAATTACAATGATAGGTTAAAAGTAAAGAAATGCAGAAGAATATACCACCCATAATACAATAGAATCACAGAGCCTTTCTCGCTTCTTTGATTCTGAGACTCTTGGTGTTATGCATGTCAACATTAGACTGTTTACATTACTGTGATTACTGATACATTTGTATGTAGGCCTATCATCTTATGCTGTAATATCAATTTACCAAAATCTGTTACATTTGTCCTCTTCTGCCTTTCATTAGAGTCACTATTCTTGAATGATATATCAGGAGAATGATACTGGAAATGACACAGGTAAGACAATGTATTTTCAGGCGAGAACTTGAAAACAGTAATAAAATCATCTAAGGGCTGGAGACCTACCTCAGTAGTAGAGAGCCTAGATAACATAGAAAGACCCTAGGTTCAATCTCTAGCACCACAAAATGAAATAAATTTAAAACTGACTAAAGATAAACTTATCACATCTCTTTGTATGTTGTGTCTACGTGTAGAGTGATCAGTTCTCTCCTTTCCACCATGTAGTCCTAGGGACGGAACTCAGGTCATGAGGCTTAAAGGCAAGCCCCTTTACCGGCTAAGCCGTCTAGCTAGTCCCAGTCCGATTTTTATAATCACCCTGTGGTGGCAGGAAACTGTTCTCTATACTATTTTAAAGATGTAACTGCTCTAAATTCATACATATCCTCTGAGTACTTACTTCTTCTTCTCCTTCATCCTCTAATTCATCATCATCATCTTCCTCGCCTTCTTCACACAGAGGTGGAGGTAAAGGGCCAAGGATATCTTCATCCACAGTATTAACTGGTTCTCCTACCGTTTTAGGGGGTAAAGGAGGGCCAATTAACTCATCATCAGATGAATCAGAACTGTCTTCACTGTCACTGCTGCTTGTGTCCCTGAAAACACAGAAACAGATACTCTTTGCTTCTGCTGATGCAGACCCTTCACCTCTTGAGAGTATCTCTGGAGACAGCACTAAGTTCTCAGGAAATCCCACCTCTCCTATAATAAATAATTTCTCAAATAACATTACACTTGCAGTTCAAACATTATGTGAATAAATGCATTGTTTAAATATTTATCTTGCCTGGCATGCTGGTTCACACCTTTAATCCCAGCACTCAGAAAGCAGAAATAGGCAGCTCCTTGAGTTTGAGGCCAGCCTAGTCTACATGGTGAGTTCCCGGTTAGCCAGGGGTACAGAGTAAGACCGTTTAAACAATAAAAATAATTTTTTTGAAAAAAAGCAAAAGATTAAAAAAAAATTATGTCAAGAAAATATTTTTTTTAAAAAACCTTCTTCCAATTATCTCACTCAAGCACTAAGTCAAAGATAAAAGGGTCATAGCAACTCTCCCTTAGAGCTTCATGAAGTCATTATAAGAAGACAGAGAACAGCAGAATGTGGAAGAAAAACTACACACACACACACACACACACACACATACACACACACACACACACAATCATGAAAACCACTGAGGTAATCAATGCCTAACTGCACTTAATCCAATCACTGTTCACCGAAGGAGCAAGTAAAGCATTATTGTAGAACTCTGGGACACAAATCCTAAAACACAAAATATTTTTCAATGCTGAAAATATTCTCACTATTACATATTCTCACTAAGATCTCTATCAAATATCTACAGACATTATGAAGGCTACAACCATCTGATCCACTTCTATCTCTCTCCAAAGTGTTGAGCATCCCTAACTGTATAAATCTTTCAAATACCACATAAAGGTTAAAGTATCACTGACATCCCCCTCGAGTAAGTTCCATGAAAGTAGATATTTCTATTGTGTCCATTGCTCTTTGTTTGGCACCTAAATGGTGTTTGTTCACTCAACAGTTACGTGAGAGAAAAAATGGAATGTTTGTTTCCATCTAGGTTTAACACTAAAAGGAATACCTTCTAACATTCATGTCATCTTTACATAAAGAGCTAGGAACTCCTCCAAAAAAATGAAATATGCAATGGCAGCACCATGGGCCTTTTTTCTAAGCGGGCAGGGTAAGATGGGTTCACCATAAGGGTCTTTGCTCTGTTGAACCACTCTCCCTGTTGCACATTATGGCTGGCACCTCCTCAGAGGCTTCGGAGCACACCTTTCTGAGCTTTCACACAGCCCACCCATCACCATTAACCTTAACAACTTTCCTTTGTTTTCCATCATTACATAATGCTGAATTATTGTATGTGACTGGCTATTTAACTGTTCATGGTATGTTATCTCCCTTAATGCTCCTCCTCCAATGTGAGCATAATGAGAACAGAGCTCTTACTTGCTCACTGCTGTACCTCACTCCCTAAGAGTGTTTACCCACATAGGATGTCCAATAAATAATAAACATCTCAATAACTGAGTAACTTTATACTCAGTAATGTACACTGCCAAATTCTCTGCCTTATATTTAAAATCCAAATTCTCAGCTATATGAAAAGTCAGTTTTTTGAATGCAAAATTATCTGGCCAGTGAAAATGTTAAACTACAATGTTGATCCTGAGCAGCTCTGCTTTCACTGTGCTAACTTATCTAAAAGTAAGCATTAAATGGAAACTAAGTTGATCCATGCTAACTTCACGGTTCATTATCTAAGCCTAAAATTAGCTCCTAACTCCATTTCTAGCTTTTTACTTCTAATATCCTCAAGCCAAATAAATTATTTTTTAAAATATAACATTTTTCAGTATTTTGAAAACAAAGTCCACAAATTACATTTGAATTATAATTTTAAAAGTATGATAGAAAGCAAAATTCCATATTTAAAGTACCCCTTGACTGGGTATGGTGCCAGAGCAGGAGCTGAAGACTGACACACAGTACACACTGGGTAGGAAAACAGCTGAGGGCCAAGTCCTCCCTCCGTTTCCCCAGCAGACTGCTTATAAACAGACATCTGTAACTGAATGTTAACTGAGGTCTACAATACAACTTTCATTTAGTTCATAAGCAAAATTCACCACTTTTACTGTGATTTTGTTGTTGCTATTTTGTTTTTCAAGACAGGGTTTGTCTGTGTAGCCCTGGATACCCTAGAATTTTCTCTGTAGACTAGGCTGGCCTCAAACTCAGAGATCCACCTGCTTCCCAAGTGGGATTGAAGGTATGCTTCCCCACACTCAGCCTGTAATTTCTTAAAAGGAAAGGCAAATGACCCAGCAGTTTCCACCTTACAGATCAGATGTTAAGTACATGACATTCCTCTCCTAACTAAAGTGATAAGATATTCTGTAGTTTCAATGATACCTGTCATTCATGTCCATGATTTTTGAGTTTTGGTTTTGGTTTTTTTGATTGAAAAGGATGTCATATAGCCATTGAGCTCCTGAGCTTCCTGCCTCTACTTCATACGCTTGCATGTGCCACCAATGTCAGGGTCACATACATTTTCCTTTGTTTTTGTTTTTGAGACAGAATCTTACTCCATAGTCCTAGTTGGCCTGCAACTGACAAAGAATCCACCTGCTTCCACCTTCCAAGTACTAGGATTAAATCTGTGCACTGCCACATTTGGCCAATATACCATTTCTTTAAAGCCAATAAACATGGAAGTGTTTGGTGATTATCTTTTTCTAAATTGAATTTCAGTAACATTCCAGGCTTTTTAGAAACCATTATTTATATGGGATATGATGCTGACACTCCACACAGCACAAAGGCAAAAAAATAATAATAATGACCTAGTAGTTATTTAAGAAGATATAGTAGCTGGGGGGGGGGGGTACACCTTTAATCCCAGCACTCAGGAGGCAGAAGCAAGCAGATCTTTATGACTTCAATGCCAGTCTGGTCTATATAATGTTCCAGCACAGCCAGGGCTATATAGATAGACCCTGTCTCAAAAAGCAACATATATTTATTTCAAATCCTGTCTTGAAAAACAAAGCAATAGGAGCATAACGATCAGAAATGAATTCACATTATAAGAAGCAATTTACTATTATGTGCATACTAGGAATGACAGCACATGCCCATATTTGCAGTACTCAGGAAGAAGAGGCAGAGAGATCATAAGTTCCTGGCCAATATGTCTCTAGAAACCAAGAGCTGAGAATGTAGCTCAGAAGTAGAACACTCATCTGGCATGCACAAGCCCTTATTTGATCTCTAGAATAGCCTCCCCGAAACTGTTTATAAACAGACATAAACAAACTAAACATAGTGCCAGGTCTGTCACAGTGATGCTTACCTCGAAGACTAGAAACAAAAAAGTCTCATCTCAAAACCATAGACTCTTCCCCCAAAGTGAAGAAAATGAAAATGAAAACCAAATCATAAATGCTGGAGCATCTCTAGTAAAAAATCTTGGACCCATACCTGACTCTATACAATATAATCATCACAGTGAGCCAAAACATAAATTTTAAAATAGCAAACACTTAGGCTTCTATTTAAACAAAACACATGGAATAAGTATATTTATAACACTTTTCTCCTAAAACTGAATAAATAATGATAACGGCAAAATAGTTGTTCAAGAAGCTATGATTTTCTTTTTTCTTTTTTTTTTTTTTTGTGGAGGGGGTTATGACATAAAGTTAGATTTTGTTGTTGCTGTTTTTTACAAGTTTACTGTTTTCTCAGATTCCAAAGCATTTTCATCACGTAGGAGTACACACTGCCTGAAGTGGAGAAATGGTGTGATCTTTTTCAGGTAAACTAATTATGAACATCTAGAGAACGAGCGTTTGGAAGCCTTTGGAAACTCAGGCACCTGGATGATGGTTTCGGGTGATCTCTGACTGCACGCGAGCTCGATGGCGTTGGTGTTGGTTCAACACCTTCATCTTCAAGTTGTTTTCTTAGTTCTTTCTCTCTGTTCATTTCTTCCTCTTTTTCTCTTGCTTCTGAAGATTAAAAGTAAAAATAATTTCCAACAGTTAGACTTTAGAATTTATCAATATTCGGCTGAAAGTCACACATATGACTAGAGGGGCTGAGGAAGTAATTCAGCTGGCAGAGTGCCTTCCGAACCATACAGAGACCTGGGTCCCGTCCCTGGCACAGCGTGAACCAGGTGTAATGGCACACACCTGTAACCACAACACATGGGAGGTGGGAGCACAATGGGAGCCAGGTGTGATGGCACACACCTGTAACCACAACACATGGGAGGTGGGAGCACAGTGGGAGCCAGGTGTGATAGCACACACCTGTAATGGCAACACATGGACGGTGGGAGCAGGAGTTCGGGGTCACCAGTCTGGGTTTCCTGAGGCCCTGTCTCAACAAAATAAAAAGCTGGGCTAAAGAGATGGCTCAACAGGAAAGGTTGGGTGTGGTGGCACATACACCTCTAACCTCAAAGCAAGGAAGAGGCAGGTGGATCTCTGTATGGTCCAGGCAAGCCCAATCTACAGAGGTAGAACTCTAGCCAGGGCTACATAATGAGACCTCTTGGCAAAAGGCCCATGTTTGGTTCCTAGCAGACACATCAGGCAACACACAACAGCCTGTAATGCCAGCTCCAGGGGCATCTGATACCTCTAGCCTATAAGAGACCTGCACATATGTGCACATACCACATACAAACACATAATTAAAAAAAATAAAAATAATTTAAGCGACCCCTACATTATTAGTAACAGCAAAAACTAAACAGCCTACAGCACAGCCACTGAGAAAAGTTAAACACAGATATAATGTGACAACAATCCTACTTCTAGGCATATACCAGGAGAAACAGAAGAGAGCCCAGAAGGAAAAAGTTGTAAGCCGAAAGCCAAAAGCTTACTAGTTCAGTTGATAACCCAGGAGGAACGGGCCTACTAGCTCATCTGACTGCCCAGGAGGAAAAAAACCAAAAGCCAAAGCCCTTTCTTCTCCACAGTGTCTCAAATACTCTTCTATCAAAGTCCCTCCTTTCTACTTAATTCTTGTCATCTGATTACTTGGTCTGCCTCTTGACCTAGGGTAAACTTTATTAAATCCTCTGTACAGAAAGCTCTTGGATTGAAGCTGTGTGCTAGGGCTGAGCCACACCATAATCGTCTGTTTACACTAAACAGAAATGTCTTGGATTAAAGGTGTGTGCTAGGGCTGAACAGCACCAAACAAGAAACATGTTTTTATAGTTGACAGTCTCAGAGTTCAAAGTTGGATCAAATATCTTGCAACAGCAGAAAGGTCGGGACAACCTGTAGGAGTTGGGTGTTGGATCTTGACCTGAGGGGGTCTGGTCTGGCAACAAGCATCTTTACCTGCTGAGCCATCTCACTGTTTCCCATTTTTAAATGGATGATCCTGTATAGCTCTAGCCATAGCCCATCTGTATAACTAGCCTATAAAACTGAAGCTGAGTAAGAGGCTTTTTTCTTCCTGGGACATTGAGTAGGAAGATCAGATAGGTGCTTTCTCTGCTTCTCTGAGCTAGCAGGTTTTCACTCCAGCATTTGGCTCCTGAGTCTTCACTGGTAAAACTGAACAATTTGGTATTTTGCTTCTTATTGCAACATTGTACAGGTCCCCCATAAACACACAATAGATAGATACATAGATTGATAGAGAGCTGGATGGATGGATGGATGGATGGATGGATGGATGGATGTAATTAAATGATTTTAATGGAGCTGGTTAGTGGTGGCACACATCTTTAATTCCAGAGATAAATATGCAAATAAGTACAATTTAAAAAGTTTTAATAAAGCTGGTTGGTGGTGGTGCACATCTGTAATTTCAACAACAGGGAGACAGTCAGATCTGTGACTTCAAGGCCAGCCTGGTCTATAGAGTGAGTTCCAGGACAGCCAAGGCTACACAGTGAAACTATATCTTGAAAAAAAAATTAAAAAAACAAAGTTTTAATAATTAAGGAGCTGGAAAGATGGCTCAGTCAGTAAAGTGCTTGCCATACAAGAATGAGGTTCTGAGTCCAGATCCCCAGCACCCAAGTGATTTTAAGCTAAGCTCAGGTGAGTGCATCTCCAATCTCAGAGCTGGGGAAGTGAAGACAAGTTGATCCCTAGAGCTAGCTTGCCAGCTAGATTCCCCTGCCTATCTGAATCAGCCAACTCCAGTTCAGTGACAGACCCTTACTGAGACTCCGGGGCCAACTGTGGTAGCACACACCTTTAACGCCAGTCCTTGGGAGGTAGGGATACCTGGATCTGTGTGAGTTCAAGATCAGCCTGGTCTACACAACGTGAACTAGGTCAGCCAAGGCTAAATACAGACCATGCCTCAAGATAGATAGATAGATACATAGATACATAGATAGACAGAAGATAAATGAAGTGGAGATTGATGGAGGAGGACATCTAACTTCACCTTCTGGCTTCCATGTGCATACATAAATATACATATCAATTTTATTTAGATGGTTGAGCTGGTCAAGCAATAATAATCCCAATACTCAGAAGGCAGAAGCAGGGCTACAAGTTTAATGTAAGCCTGAGCTACACACCAAAATCTATCCAGGGCTTTAACTTGGCCCACCCTAACATCTACCACATCGATGTACAGCTGGAGTGCATGAAGGGGACTACAGATCCAAAACTACAGGATCTCCATGAAACAGGGCAACAAGATATTTGAGAGAAATCCCAGTGAGGTTCCAGTATTGCCAGTGCAGCAGAAGCCAGAGGCCTCATGCCAGACCACTGACTCAGTGCAGTGAACACCTGCAAACAAGTAAGTATGAACAAAAGGGTGTACTGTGGCATACACTGACACATGAGACATTTTTTTCCTCTGCTGTGGGAGAGGTTGCAAGAACTGAGGGCAAGTAAGAAGAAAGAGGGAATAAGTAGGATTGGGGTGTATAACGTGAAATTCACAAAGAAACAATAAAAAGTTTTTTTAAATAGAGGTTTAAGATAATAAATGATGTATCACATCTTTATACACTGGAATAGAAATTATCAACCTAAATGGCCAACACTGAGAAAAGAATTGAACAAATTACATTATTATATAAAGCACAATAAAAACAGTGATGAGTATTTATTTTCTAGTCAAGAGGGGAAATTATCAATAGACTGTTAGAACAATTTTTTCATTCATATTGATGAAACAATATAGTAGCAGAATTACATACTATTGTGAAAAAAAAGTGGCAAATATAGACACACTGAACAAACACTATGTGAAAAACAATGTACTATGTAAAAAGATAGACCAAAGGAAGGAAAACATACTCAGAAGTGAAATGCTGGATAACTCCCTTCTCAGTGTTTTAGGCTGGAAGCAGCTCTCATTCCTTTCTGACTTCCCTATACTGGACCTTTTACCAGACTTCCAAAATCATGAGAGATTTTCAACTACAATAAATCTCTAGGGGTTAGTTGGTGGGTTTTTAGACATAAAAAAAACTTATCCAAAAAAGAATTTTTTTCCTCTGCTAATCTTACTTGGTAACTGGGAAGGGCACATAAGAAGTAAACATGAACAGTTTAGCTTTCTTTTGCTAATATCCCAATAATTTAAAAGAATCTAACTTTATTTTTTAAATAGTAAGGATGATAATTGTCACCTACACTTATAATTCCAGTGGTTGGGAGACAGAAGCAGGATTGAGACCCCTATCTTAAAAAAAAAATTTTTTTAATTAAGTCAAAATTTTAATTAAATACTATACACCTGAAGTTAAACAGTGACAAAGGGCTTTATAACAACCATATTACATTCTTTGGCATTTTTGTTGTTGGGCCATAGAAGACAAGGAACAAAGAGATACCCAGCAAGTATTTAACAGAAACTAATTAAGGCTGGGCAGTGGAGGCACACGGCTTTAGTCCCAGCACTGGGGAGGCAGAGGCAATTGGATCTCTGTGAGTTTGAGTCCAGCTTGGTCTACAGAGTAAGTTCCAGGACAGCCAAGGCTAAAAAACAGAGAAACTCTTTTTGAAAAACCAAAAAATAAAAATGAAAGAAACTAATTGAAAGACATGTTAATACAGAAAATAAGAACTTTCCAGGAATAGGCAAGGCAAATGCTAATTTTTCTGTGCTCTCCACTGAACTAGTGTGGCAAAGAGCCAATATTCTGATGCCCAAGGCGGCTAGGCAAAATAAAGAACAGAAGCCTAGTAGTCAGCTTAATAAGTAAGAAGCTTCAACCCTATCCTTACCTGCTCTTGGTCAATCCTTCCACATTTGCTCTCTAAACTCACTCTCTTTGAGGTTTTAAGGCATATTCTCTCCCTAATCAGGACAGTATAAAAAGGCAGGAATTAGTAGCTGTCTACATACCAGCCATCTCCCCTTTTATCCTTGCTAAGAAATTCACTCTTTCTTCTGCAGGTAGTAGGCAACATTGTGCTTCTGGTCATGCTGGGCCCCTCCCTGGCCAAGGAAGGTGGAACTTGATTCCAAGTTATAATATATTGCTCTTTAATGGCCATTTTAGAAGTGGCACACTGTACCTATACTAGCTATACAGATTTTACTCTGAAGCAGAGGAGCTCCGAACAGTACCCTACATTCAGGGTCCTCATCAGTATTTGACAATTAGAACCTCTGACAATTGGGATCATGAATTCAGTTATCTCAGGACAAACCAACACCCTACAGGTGGCAAAGCAGGAAAAGGAGGAAAACTTCATGGTCCTCATGCCACGACTCAAAATACAACCGCCCCATGCTAGGATTCTTGTCCTAAGAGATGCTAAATTTTTCTTACATGAGTCATTCTTTAATTGAGTCTTCCATACTGTCTCTGCAAGGAACAGAAAGCATGTTGCCATTAGCCTTAATTTAACACAAATTAAAGTTAATACATAAATGGAGCTTACCAAATGCAAGGTGCTTTTAAAATTTTCCTACAAATTAATCTTTTTAACAATCTCAAAAGCAGATACTATTATCCTACTTCACAGCTGAAAACTCCAAGACATAAACAAATTAACTT